TCCCATACCGTCCCGTGCCCACCCCTAGTTGCTGGTGTTAAGCCATGTATGCCGTTGAGTTCCTTTTATTTTTTTAAATTATATGGGATGAGAATTTCTCACAAACGTACACAACTAAAATGTCATGGGAGTTTGAACCTGACACATTTAACTTATAAAAGTCAAAGCCCTGTCCCCAGTTACATGCAGTTGAGTTATTTTGTTTTTTAAATGGAGTATATTTGAAATTTAAATGAACGAAAATGAATTGGGGTGTAGTCAGCGAGAAAATTAGAGGGGTTTCAGTAGAATTTCACAAAACAAAGGTATCCATTCTGGTATCAAGCAAAAGATTAAAAACTAACGATAATATAAATAAATAATAAACTCTACAAAAAACAAAAAAAAGTTATAATAATATTTATATTATATAGCTCTTGGGGGATCATCAATCCAATGGTGTAGAGTATACCTACTTGGAGATTAAGTTAAGCACCTTAAATCCTTTTCTTACCTCCCACTACTCGATCTCTTCGTTCTGTTTCCTACCATTTCTATTGGTCCTTTTTCATTTTTCCAGCACCAAAAAAGTTCTAATAAAAAAGAAAAATGCTAAATAAAGTGATTAAGCAACTCCAACTCATGCCGTATGTATTATAGGCTTGATTACTGTTTTACCCCTCGAATTTAGCCTCTTATTTTTTTTGTCGATAGAGAAATAACAACTTAGTTCTCTTCGGATCAAAGCTTCTTCCTAAAATTCTCTACTCCAATTTGAAACAATGGTGGTCGTGTAGAAGATTAGGGTTTAGCCTCATCTTGTGCTCGACCAATGATCATACTCTTAGTTTTCAACGATCGACACACGACTTGGTATGCATTGTCATTGTGGTTCTGAGTTGTGGGGTATCAGTTGTTCTTCATAATCGTTGTGGGGTATCAGTTGGTCTTTTAGTCAATAGAAACTCCAATTTAGACCCGTGACTAAGGAATAGTGGGTGCATATTGTGTTTTGTCCCAAACCACACCATCTTTTACTAGTGACAGTATGAATGAGACTTGGATTTAAAGAAATGTGGGAAAGGATTGGAGGACTAGCTTCTTGCTAGCTAGCGTCTAGCTAGGTGTCATCTTTGTCAAATTTCCAGTTATGATAAAAAGCAACATGCTTGGGTCGGTGACACAAAAGCTAGTCATCTTTGAAAAAAGCATGCCATCACTTGGCAGCACCCCACTCTCCTGAAGCCATAAAGCATATTATTATTGCTTCAAATAAGACTTTAAATTTAAAATATTGATTTGAGATGGAATAGGCAAAGGGAAAAGGAAAACTGAGAGACAGAATCTTCAGTCTATAAAAGAAAAGTATTATTATCTTACCAAGAAAAAGAGACATGGATGTTTGTCTTTGGCCTCAAGAGTCTAAAAGCTTCTTGAAAATCAAGAAACAATAAAGCCCCTTGGGGATGAAGTTTTGAGCACCTTTTCCTCTTTCCTTTGCCCAATGCCCACCCCCAAGTGGAATCCCACTACACTACACTCTCTTCCTTCTGTTTCCCATTTGATCATGATGACTCCTCTCCTCTTCTTTTTCTCATTACTTGAAAGTAAAGTATGATAGTCATTACTTCAAAGTAAGGTATGATGTGAAGATATAAGTTAATTCATTTCCAATTATAAGCTGATAGTTAACAAAGTTCCAATAGTCATGGCAACTCTACACAAACTGATAGTTGAAGTTGTCGACGCTCGCAATCTGTCGCCGAAAGACGGCCGCGGCGCGTCTAGCCCCTACGTGGTGGTGGACTACCGCGGGCAGCGAAGGCGCACCCAAACCAAGCTCAGCGACTTGAATCCTGTGTGGAACGAGTTGCTCGACTTCGATCTCAGTAGGCCTTCTGACGTGTTTGGGGATGTGCTTGAGCTGGATGTATACCATGACAAGAATTACGGCCCCACCACCAGAAATAACTTTCTCGGCAGGATCCGGTTGAGTTCCTCCCAGTTTGTGAAGAAAGGTGAGGAGGCCTTGATTTATTTCCCTTTGCAGAAGAAGAGCTGGTTCACGTGGATTCGCGGCGACATTGGGTTGAAGATTTATTATGTGGATGAGGTCGTGCCGCCTCCGTCTCCGCCGCCACCGCCGCCCAAAGCGGAGGAACCAAAGCCTGAAACAGCACAACCTCCGCAGTCAGAGGCGGTACCGCCACCAGAATCCACCTCGCCCCAACCTACAGACCAGCCACCAGCTGAAGCGGCGCCACCAAAAGAAGCCGAACAAACACAGCCACCTGAACCCGAGAAGCCTGCCGAAGAGCCGCCGACTGAGGCTGCTCCGCCACCAAAGACCGAGGCTCCTGAAGTAGCAGAATCGGGTCCCTCACCGCCACCTCCGCCACCACCAGCCACTGACGATGCAAATCAGGATCAGGCAAACCCACCACCCCCACCAGTAGCACCTGAAGCTGCTCCCATGCCCATGCAACGTGATCATGAAATTGAGGTAATGGCACATTCCATATCCAAATCAATGGCAGATGTCAAATTCCACCGAACCAACGGTCCACCACCAATGCCGAGACCTCCGGTTGTGCCCGGTGGAGCACTCAATTATACGTCGCAGCTGGAGCCGACGGAAAGCATGTCAATGGACCGGCCTTCGTTTGATCTGGTGGAGAAGATGCACTACCTCTTCGTCCGAGTTGTGAAAGCGCGCTTCCTCCCAGCAAATGGCAGCCCAATTGTAAAAATCTCCACCGCCAACTACCACATCACATCCAAGCCCGCCAGAAAAACCCACTGCTTCGAGTGGGACCAGACCTTTGCCTTCGCCCGCCAATCCCCCGACCAGTCCGATGCCTCCATCCTCGAAGTCTCCGTCTGGGACCCACCCGTATTCGACCCCACAACGGCCTACGAGGTGGCCTCCGGCCATCAGTTCCTCGGCAGGATCTGTTTCGACGTGATGGAAATACCCCTGAGTGACCCGCCGGACAGGCCCTTGGCCCCGCAGTGGTACAGGCTGGAGGGCGGTGGGGCCCGCATCAACGGCGATCTTATGCTTGCCACGTGGATGGGCACCCAGGCAGACGATTCATTCCCCGACGCGTGGAAGACCGACACGGCGAAAAATCCAAACGCACGAGCCAAAGTGTACCAGTCTCCGAAGCTCTGGTATCTCCGAGCCACCGTCCTCGAAGCGCAAGACGTTCTGCCCGTAACGGCGTCGTTGAATTTGAAGGAAGCCACGTTCCAGGTCAAAGCCCAGCTCGGATTCCAATTCTTCAAGACCGAGTCTACCGTCACCCGAAACGGCGTGCCGTCTTGGAACCAAGACTTAATATTCGTAGCCGCCGAGCCGTTCAGCGACCACTTAATTTTCACCGTGGAGAACCGGCTACCGAAGGGACCGGTCACCTTGGGCGTGCTGCGAATTCCACTCAGCGCCGTCGAACGACGCGTGGACGATCGCAAAGTGGCGTCGCGATGGTTCAGCTTGGAAAATCCAGACGGCGACGAGAAGAGGATGTACAGAGGCAGAGTGCACTTGCGCCTTTGCTTCGACGGAGGGTATCACGTGATGGACGAGGCGGCGCACGTGTGCAGCGACTACCGCCCAACGGCGAGGCAGCTCTGGAAGCCACCGCTTGGCACGGTGGAGCTCGGAGTCATCGGATGCAAGAACTTGATACCTGTGAAGACGGTCAACGGTAAAGGATGCACGGACGCCTACTGTGTGGCCAAGTATGGACCAAAATGGGTACGCACGCGTACCGTATGTGATAGTTTGGAGCCCAAGTGGAACGAGCAGTACACGTTTAAGGTCTACGATCCGTGTACGGTGCTGAGCATTGGCGTTTTTGACAATTCCGGATCGGGTTTCGAAATCGAGGGCTCGAAAGACGCCACGCGTCCTGACTTCCGTATCGGGAAGCTACGGGTGCGTATATCTACGTTGACTACGGGTAAAGTGTATAAGAATACGTATCCGCTGCTGGTTTTATCACCCACTGGCTTGAAAAAAATGGGTGAGGTGGAGATCGCGGTACGCTTCGTTCGCGTGAGCCCGACCTTGGATTTGGTCCATGTGTACTCGCAGCCATCGCTGCCGTTGATGCATCACATAAAGCCGCTGGGGCCGGTCCAACAAGATGTGTTGAGGAGAGCGGCGGTGAAGATCGTGGCCTCCCACTTGTCGCGATCTGAACCGCCGCTGGGGCGGGATGTCGTGCTTTACATGCTGGACGCGGATTCACAAGGCTTTAGTATGAGGAAAGTGCGCGCCAATTATTTCCGCATCATCAATGTCGTTGCCGGGGTGATGGATGTCGTTGGGTGGATAAACGACACGCGTTCGTGGAAGAATCCAATGGCCACGATTCTCGTACACGCTTTGCTGGCGCTGCTTGTGTGGTTCCCGGATCTGATAGTCCCCACTCTAGCGTTTTATGTGTTCGTTATTGGTGCTTGGAACTATAGGTTCCGCTCCCGGGCCCCACTTCAGCACTTTGACCCGAAGCTATCATTGGCGGAGAGCGTTGACCGTGATGAGCTGGACGAGGAGTTTGATTCGGTGCCGAGCACCAGATCATTCGAGGTGGTGCGGGCGAGGTACGATAAGCTGCGGATGCTCGGTGCACGTGTGCAGACGGTGTTGGGAGATTTCGCGACGCAAGGGGAGCGGGTGCAGGCTTTGGTGACGTGGCGGGACCCACGTGCGACGGGGATTTTTGTGGGGTTGTGCTTTGTTGTGGCAGTGATACTGTACATGGTGCCATCGAAGATGGTGGCTATGGCGTTTGGGTTCTATTATCTGCGCCATCCGATCTTTCGTGATCGGATGCCGCCGCCGGCTTTGAACTTCATCAGAAGGCTGCCTTCGCTGTCTGATCGACTTTTGTAGGCGCAGATGGATGTTGGGCTAGCTAAGGTTGATAAGGTTTTAAATTTATGAAGTTTTTTTTTTTTTTTTTTTTTTTTTTCTAGGTTTTGTTTGTAATTTTTG